GGGGTTAGTTTCCTTTTAGCTAGATAATAATAAGTCTATTAGACTTAGCTTAATAGGTTAATAGCTAGTCTTTCGTCTATATACTATATAGTTAATACAGTTATTGTAGTTAGTATAGTTAGTTTCTTATATAAAGTACACTATCTACCATGGCTGTGCTATAGCCTATATATAAAAGGCATTACCTTATAGATGAAGCTAGAATCATCAAATAAAGGCACTAATTGGTTTAATTCCAGGCTAAAATCGCCGAAACCGCTACCGTTGAAAGGCTGTCAAAAAACCCTATACTTTTATATAAAAGAAACAAAATGATATGTTCTATAGAATAGAGGTAAACTACTTAAAGATTTAAAAAGCTAAAAGTTAGCTAATAAAGGTTTTAATAATAAAAAAGGATCTATTATAGATCTAAGTTAACCTAATAACTTACTCTCTAATATTAACTACTTTATTACTATAGTAAATAATAGTTATCTTATAGAAATACATAGATTAAATATCTATCTAAACAGATTAATAGACTTCAAGGCGTTAACTAATAAAAGATATTATAATACATTTAAATAACAGTTAAAGTCTTCTTATAGAATATAGAGAGGAATAAATAATATTTAAAGATAGCTTTAAAAGAGGTTAAGTTTAATATCCTTTTAATCTAAGATCCTTAGGTTAATAATATACTAGATTAACCTATTACCTAAATAATGTAAGATATTATTTAATATATCGGTTAAAGGGGCTAATAAGAATTTTTATTAATAAGAATTTTATCATAGAGTAACTAGTAGAATTACAAAATAGGAAAGAGGTTCTATAAAGTATAGTTCCTATCAATAAAGATAAACGGCATAAAGTTCTAATTAGTTTATAACTTTAAAAAAGATATTAAAGTAATTTAAGCCTTATAGGAATAGTAGCCCTTATAGAGGTAGATAATATTAATAAAGGATTTTAATTTATATTATCTTCTATAGAACTAATTTAAATAGTATAATACTAAAGCTAAAGCTTTATTACATTTACTTTATAGTAATCTAGTTAATAGTAATATAGATATAAAAGGTTTAAGGGTAAAAGATAATAATCTCCTTTCTATAATTCGATATTTTAAAGACATTTAATATAGTTAACTGTATTACGCTTTTTTCTATTTAAAAGTTAAAACGCTATCTACTATAGGTAATTTATTAGATTAAAGCTTAGTTTTAAGGATAGAGTTATAATACTTTATTTTAATAGATAGAAAATAAAGTATATTCTAATAGTAATAAAGGTTCTATAAGGCTCTAAAGATAATATAAATCTAATAATATTTAAAAAAAAGCTTAAAAATATATCGTAAATAGTTAGAGAGAGCCCAGAAGACCTATCTATAGTAGATAGATATTTAAAGGATAGCCTTTATCCCTTAGAAATATAAATTAATCTACTTTAATAAAGAGAGAAGATAATAAAGGGAACTAATAGTACTAAAAGGTTATAGAAGTTAATATAGTTCCTAAGGATCTTATTAAACTAAAAGTTAAAGTAGAAGGTCTATTTATAAATATTAAAGAATAAATTAAAGATCTAAGACTTTATTCTATTAAAGATTATAGCAAAGACCTAAAAGCTAAATCTAATAAAGGCTTAAAAGATATATGTATAAAGTATATTAAAATATAATTATATTTAAAGCCTTTAATTATTATGAACTAATAGAATTAAAGAAAAAGATAAAACATATTTTTAAAGACCTTATAACAGATTAGAATAAAAGTCTAAAAACTATTATTAAAGTCTATAAATTAACCTTAATAAAGTATATAAAGATAAAGGTAAAGATCTTTCTTTTAAACCTCTATTTAAATGAAAGACTAAAGGACTTTAAAACCTACTTTTAAAAATAAACTCTATAGTTAAAGGCTAGATTAAATATAAAGTATATATTAATAGATAATCTAATTAAAACAACCTACAGTAAACTTTATAAAAGGTTTAAAAGCACAAATTTGGACTTGAAGTAAAGATTATAGAATTACTAGAAGATCTAGTTATAAAAGAACCTATAAACTATCCTATAAAGGGTAGATAGTTAAACTAATACATTAATAAAGAAGGTTTTAGATTAGTTAATAGACTTTAATTAGCTATAGGAATATAAGTTAGTTAAAAACCTAAAGATAGAACCTATAAATAAAGGCTAGTTTATTTAAAGGTTAATAAAGGGCTTCCTTTCCTTTTATAGTAGATAGATATAGGATCTAGTAGCTTTAAAAGGTAGATAGAGGTTTTTACCTAGTAAATAGCTAGAATAGTATAGTTTCCTTTATATTTAGTAGTAGAGGGACCAGTATACCCTAGTAGATATAGTAGTATAGGAAATAATAATAATAATGATAATAATAACGTATATATAAGCGAGTGGATCATATAAGTGAGTGGATCATATAAGCGAGTGGACCAAATTCTCACGCGATGCGTCTCCCTCTGCCCAACACCAATTTCCTCCACCATCCTAATATACCTTTAAATTCAGTCGAGCCTAATGTAATTCTTATAGTCGAGGCTCTTAAAAAAGATCCTAAGTTGAGCCTCTGAGCTGTAGCAAAGCTCTATTCTATACCTTATACTACCCTCTATCACCGGTATGCTGGCCGACCTGTACAACGTAATACTATATCCAACTTACGCTAGCTTACCGATTCTGAAGAGAAGGCTATTATTCAGTATATAATTGAGCTATCTGAGCAAGTATTTCCACTAAGACTTAATGGTATAGAAGATATGGCCAACTAGCTACTATATATATGTGATATACCCCCCGTTGGTAAGCTTTAGGTATATAACTTTGTCAAATATTAACTAGCCCTCTAGATATATTAGTTACGTCGTTATAACTACTAGAGGGCCAAGTATAAAGATCCAAAGGTCATTAGTAGGTAGTTTACCCTTATATAAAACGTCAAAGCTAAGTATAGTATTATAGACAATGATATCTATAACTTCGACGAGACTAGGTTTATAATAGGTATTATCTTTATAGGTATAGTAGTTATAACCTTAGATAGCTATAGTAAGGTAAAGCTAGTATAGCCTAGTAACTATAAGTAGGTAACTGTAATATAAGGTATTAATACCCTTAGCTAGGCTATCCCCCCCTTTATTATCTTGGCTATATAGTACTACCTTACTAACTGGTATATTAAGTATAACCTCTTAGCTAACTGGTATATTATAACTACTAAGAATAGCTAGACTATTAATACTATAGGCCTAGATTAGATCAAGTACTTTGATTTCTATATAATACCCTAGGTAAAGGGAAAATACCAGTTATTGATCCTTAATAGCTATAAGAGCTATTACTCGACTAAGTTTAAGCTCTATTACTAGTAGAATAATATTATTATACTCTATATACCTCTATATTCCTCCTACCTCCTTTAGCTATTTAATATTAGCTGTTTTAGGCTATTAAAGCAGGTATATAGCTGCTAGATCAAGGACTTAATATATATATATATCAACTATATAAATAAGCTTAAGTTCCTCTATACCTTTTATATAGCCTTCTTTACCTCTATTACCAAGAGTAATATCTAAGGTGGCTTTATAGATATAGGCCTTATTCTATATAATCTAAAGAGGATACTTTCTAAGCTAGATATTAAGCTTTCTATACTAATACTACTAACCTTATAGCCTAGTGCTCTATAACCTTAGGTCTTCCAGATACCCTATAACCCTTAAGAAGCTGATTTACAGTTAATACTTATCAAGACTTATATTACCAACTATTAAAACAGCCCCTTAACCTTAATATTAGCTACTGTAGACCAGCTTACCAAAGGTATAATAGCTATAATATATAAGGTGGCTCTCCTATACTCCGAGGTCTCTTCGCTCTATAAGGCCAACGAGGCACTCAGTAAGCGCCGGAGAGCCAAAAGAACATATATATAGCTTAGAGGATCACTTATAGGATAAGATACAATAGATCTACTAGACCAGAAGGCCGTGATTGGGGAGGTGGCACAAGAAAAGGAGCTGGATAGTAGTAGTATAGGGGGGGGTTGTACGAAGGTTCGGTGCTGTGGTGTATGTGGCAAGCCTGGCCATAATGCCTGTACGTGTCAGGAGGTTGCAGAAGGGTCTGATTCAGCTGTTTCTGATGTAATTGTAGTTGGTTAATAGTGTTGTTATGGTACAATGGAGGATAGTGTTCAGAAGGTAGGGGAAACTGATCCACTCGCTTATATGATCCACTCGCTTATAATATACGTTAGTAATAATAATAATAATAATAATAATAATAATAATAATAATAATAATAATAATAATAATA